CAGATTTTATCACTCTCTCTAGTAGTTTAAGGCATCCTGGTAAGTCTTGGTATCTGTGAATAGGATAATTTTATTATTTCTAATTACATGTCAGAAATAAAAAGAAAAAAACACACAGGGAAATGTTTTCCTAAATAAGGAATGTTAATAGCATGTGACCTTAGCAGTGCGACAAAGACAGTACTTGTTCAGGAGTCTATGGTGCCAGATGGGAGAATATTAAAAGTGCCTTGAAAAAGAAATTTCTTCATTATTTTTTTTAATTTTTTTTTTCAAATATTTATTTGTGCATACAGAACGGGGTACAGGCCAGAGGTTCAGGGGCGGTGAGAGGTTTCACCAGACACAAAGTGGGAAACACAACAGGCAGATCGACGAAGTACACTGCAGAGGGGAGCAGCGGGCGGGTCAGGAGAGGTCTGCCACGCCATGTGGTCACCTCCGGGGCAGGCGGGAATCGAACTCATGAGGAAGCGGCTTTAGGTTCTCAGTGCTGTGCTTTAACCCGCTGCGCCACCAGGGAGGGCCTTCTTCATTATTTTTAATGATAACTTTTAGACAATAAGAATCTATAACTATGTTTACCCTATGCAAAATAAAAATGAATATTTATAAACCACCCAGAGGATCTGATAAATGTAAGCAAGTTGGTAATTTAGAGACCTTTAATTTTTGTTTTATATAGTTAATTGAGTGCATTTATTATATGAATCAGGTAATTGCTAAATCTCCACCTGACTTCCTTCAGATTAGACATGTTGTCAATTATTTATCCAGAAAACAGTAATTTTCTTGCAAATTTAAACATAGCCTTTAATAAACCAATTAAAGATGGCTGTGTACTAAATAAATACCACATATGTAATATACATACTTATAGAAAATGTATTTTTAAAAAGTAACTCACTATCCTTAGGATAAGTAGCAGCAGTTTATAAAAATGAACTTATCAAACCAATATTATTTTGTAAATTAACTCGTGATTTTTTTAACATTTGGAATGTTCAAGAACGGGGCATTATACAAAACATGACATACATGTATCATTTTCATAACTTGTGTGTCTGATCACTTTTGGTTTTTACTATTGCCCTTTATGAAATTTTGATTCTTGAATGTCATGATAATACAATGCCCACTCATTTATTCATTCAAGAAATAGTTAAATGCCTTTTGCTAAGTGCTGGGGACATGCAAAACCAAATAGGACTCTTTATCTCACAGAACATTTTATTTAGTGATGGAAAAATTTACTAACAAAATGTCACAGAAATAAAGAAATGAAGAAAAAGGTAGTGCTGAAAGAGTAACTGGGAAAAAATGCCTTTGTTCAGGATCTCAGAACTTTTCCCCAAGATAGTAATGTTTATGGGAGGATGCTCAGATTACAAAATCAACCATTTGGATCTCATTTGTGCTGGTATTATTCTTAAAGTCTGGTGATATGCTAGAATCGCTCTCAAAACTATATGTTTAATTTAAATAAAAAATGATACTCAATCCAGTGACAGGTAGTATGGGAAGAACTAAATTAAGTAGATTTCTTGCTTTCAATGAGTTTTCTTAGCTGGGGGGAAGCTCAATACAATAGTATAAAATGGTCCTCCCTGGTGCAGCTGTTAAAAGCACAGCATTAAGAAGCTAAAGCCACTTGCGCATGAATTTGATCCCAGCCTATCTGGGAGGCGATCCACGCGGCTTGGCAGACCACCTTCTGACCTGCCCACTGCTCCCCTCAACTGTGTACTTCATCAATCAGCCTGTTCTGCTCCCCACTCTGTCTCTGGTGAATCTTCTCACTGTCCCTGCACCTCTGGCCTGTATGCACAAATAAATAAATCTTAAAAAAAAATAGTATAAAACAAAGCTTGACAAGCAAAATAAGAGCTACAGAAACAAGTGCAAAAATAAGGAAAAATTTCTTGTAATTAAAAAAATAAGACTCTAGAAGGTTTCCAGTGAACATGTGGCAATTACTTGGGCCTTGCAGTATGGGCAAGAGTTTAAAGATAAATAAGGGAGGAAAGCATTTCAGTAGAATGTAAAGATGGGAAAACATAAAAACACATTCTAGAAACTGTGGTTCCAATTTGAGCTCTGTAAGAGAAAGAGGTGAGAGCTGGATTTGGAAAGCTAGAATGGAGTCAGGTTGTGACAGCCCTTGCTGGCCACAGTAGACTCAGGTTCGAGACTCAGCAAGTAGCCAAAGTAAAAACTATTGTATGTGGGCAACCAGTCTTGTTTTCCTTTCCCATTTTATACTGTGACTTTGAGCCAAGGAAATTATTCACTCTAATAGTCCATATCTTTCTCTGTTCCTTAACCTGGTTAAAAGTGAGACCAGCAAATTATGTGCATTTGGGGGAACAAAGGGCCTGTATTCTTGAGATCAGGGTGTGTTCTATCCATATTCATGTGCTGGGTACCTCACTTAACGTTGGCATGAGATTAGTGCTTAATAGCTGTTAGTGTTTACATTTATCTTCTTAATCATTAGGTAGAAACCAATAAAAGATATATCAAATCCTATAGACTTATTTTTTAAATTACAAAAAATAATAAAACCAAATACAAATCTAATACAGTTGTATTAGACCTTGGCTTAGAAAATAATAAGCATTCCTGATAAAGCCCAGATATATGAGGATATTATGGAATTATTACACATTTCCTTAAGTGACTGCAACTATCAACTGTTTAGCAAAAAACCAAATATATACAAAATGCAAAAATAAGGCAAATTTATGGAAACATCTCTAATTATTGAATCTGGGAGCTTGGAAAGCAAGATTCATTTTACTTTTTGGTTAATTACACTATATGTTTGAAATGATTCATAATAAAAAGTTGGAAAGGTATTTAATTTCAAAAATATAATACTCCATTAATCATTCTATTAGTAGATAGTTCACAGATTCTCTGGGAAGACTTAAACATCATATAGCCCAACACATTCTTTGATAAACTTTTTGCCTGCCCCACCAAGCTCACAGCTGGTTCTACAAACCTCACTAATGCTGCAAGTGCACTAATTTTTTTTCTTGAGTTGGAATATAGTTATCACCAAACTACTGCCCAGTCTTGTCCAGAATGTATTCTGATTGTTCAGCCCACGTCCTGCCCACAAGGGTGTTTGGAAAGGCATGGAGCTTGTATTTCAGATTCTGGAGTAAAATGTTTGCTTGTCCTGCTTCATAAGCTGGCAGATATAACAGGGTAGTTCAGATATTGATTGGCCAAGAACAATAACAGAAGTCAGTTGTTCAGCAACTGATAAAGAAGTCTATGCTATTAAAAAGATTATTTATTTATGCTTACAAGAATTGGGGTGTAGGCCAGAGGTGGGGGGATGGGGGTAAGAGGATTCATCAGAGACAGAAGGGGGAGCAGAACAGGTAAACTGAAATACACTCCTGAGGTCTGCTGCACCATGTGAGTTAGCTCCTTGGCCAGAGATAGAACTCATGCTGCAGTGGCTGGTGAAAGCTTCATAATACTGAGACTTAATTCCTTATACCACCAGGGAGACCCCAGCATCTGTATTTCTTATAACCCCAGTATAATGCTGTATGTATAACAGGACAATTGAAAAAAATTCTATGAATATGAAAGGGATGTATTTATCTCGTGGAAAGAATATGTCTGAAAACTGAAGGGATCATCACTGAAAATATTAAAATTCCTAAATATATACTTACATGAAGCCTAAAAATTTAAGAATTATCAAAAATACTTCTACAAAAATGTTTCCTATTTATCACCTAACTGAAAATTGCTTATAAAGTTGATTGCTAAATTTACACGTATAAAAGCAGTTATATCTACTAGTAGCTTGCTACCACTAATATTAGTGATTGCTGATGTTATCAGTTTTCTTCATCGGTAAAATAAAGCGCTTGAGACTAAATAATTTGTAAACGTTCTTCTGAATTTTTTTAAATGCAACATACAGTTCAGGAGCAAATGGAATGATTTCAGTATTTAGCAAACAAATCAGCCTGCAAATAGTCAGAACTTAAATATTACCAAATGTTGGGAACCTACACATATTTCCATTTTATATAAGGTATTGTAATCTTAAATATGTGAAGAAAGTATATGAAAGAGCATTTTGCATGTTCTGTATTTAGAAGACACTTCAAAGTTTCATGTGATCTAATATCCTTTCTTCACTGGTGGCACTGCAAATTTTATCAGTTGTAATGCAATATGGTGAATATGGTGAATTAGGACAGACCACACTTCTGTGGAGTTAGGATTTAAACTGAAAGCCTACAATAGGAAGGGAAGATACTTAAAAGTCAGAAATGATCTCAGAAGCTATAATTAAGAATATGGCACAAAATCTACACACAAAAACAGTACAGAAAACGAAAGTAGTAAACAACTCACAGAAACATGGGTAGAAAAAGGTCACTGCAAGACCAAGAAGAATTAGAATCACAAAGCACTAAAACTGAAAAACTACGAGAAAGCCAGGTTTTACAATGACTAGAAAACCCTTGATTTAAAAAGTAAGGAGCTGGACCAATAGTTGGGAGTGCCTGAATTTAGGGGGATGTCGCCCAATCTTGTGGACGCTTCCTTCATTTTTAGAGCTTTTTATTTTCTTATCCTTAAGTTGACTGGCTTAGATTTCTAAAATCATCTAAAATCCATCCAAATACAAGACTATCCAATAGTCTTGTATAGATCTCTGGGTTACCCTTTCCACACAACAGATAAGTTACTTAATTTTCCGGTTACAATGATTAAAAAAAAAATCAAAAGGTCGCAGCTCATCCGGGACCTTGACTCTTAGAGAAAACCACAAAGCGGAAGAAACGGACGCAAGCCCGGGGAGAGAAAGGCGGTTCGCACGCCAGTTGGAGCAAGAAAAGCCTGGAGACGATATTTCGGCCGGAAGTGGTCGACTAACTACGCGCGGAGGCAGCCGCAGCGGCGGCGGAAGGGACGGGCCCGAGGGCGGAAGTGACGCGAAGCCGGTTCTTGTCCCTGAGGGTGGGCGTAGCCGGTTTGTCGGGTGAGGCGGTGGTGGCGGAAGAGGTCGGTGTTTGATGGCGTCTGGGGTTTGGAACCTTCTTTAACGCCCCCTCTCTGTTCGGGAACCTTTTCACTGGGTAAGGACGGCGGTTTTCTCGCTCCGCCGCAGCGCTTAGTGGGCCCTTGACGCGAGCTGGAGCACTTGTGGGACCCGTGATACGCCCCTCAGCCCTAGCGTCCCAGGCACTGGCCGGTTTCTGGAATGGTGTTTGTGATGACGATGCTACCAAATAACCATGGTTTCCTTCCCGAGGACAACTCTTTCCTCCTGAACTGCTATTGTGACGGAAATGTGGGCGACTTCGGCTGACATTGGAGTTGGTAAAAGCGACGGGTGGTCGCCCCACGCAGCGAGAGTCGGGGGCGGGAAAAGCCTTGGCGACTTGGGGGAGGCGTGTGGGACGTGGGTCCTTTGACAGAGGGCCCCTCGGGAAGAAACTCTTGTACGAGGTTCAATTCTAGGGTGACGTGTGCTGCGGGTGTAGTGAACTGGGGAAGACATTAAGGTCGAGTGCTAAAAGGACGGGACGGAGGGGGGAAGGGTGAAAGTCGAGTGTTTTGGTTTGGAGGCGTTTGTGGCGAAGGGGGCGGAGATAACTAGCCTGCTACGCTTGCGTTGGGGCGCCGCGGGCGGAGTTAGCTTGTTTAGACCTCACCTCCTGCTGCACCTGGGCTGCAGATTAGCTGAAGCTGTTTTTGGTTTGTTTATGTGTGGCCCCTCCGCCTACTGCTCCGAGGGATCTTAAAAATGTGTCTGAGGGAAGTCAGTCTTTGCGGAGTCAACTTTTCTCCTTTTCACATCCCCTCTCGCTACCCGCTCCTGGGCACGTGGCTTACCTGATACTCAGGCTCTGGATTCTTCAGGGAATCCTTGTTAGAGGATGATCAGCGGTGCGTACATGCGCACGCACGAGCCTTATTGATTAAATGTGTATTACTTTATTGGTAACACGTTTTGTTTGAAAACACTGCCATTTAACTGTACTGTTTGCGGCTTGGTTGTGAATTGCCATTACGACAGGAATTGAGATAGGAGAATCTTAATTTTTTTAATCCTGTATTGTAATTGTAACAATTTTCACGCACAGCTCAATTACTAATTAAATTTTTGGAGATTATTGGAACAACCTGTTAATCTAAAAAGTGGACTGAGTGCCTTCCAAATGTTGGTTAAGCGTATAAAGTGCTTGAGGCCAGACATTTCGCCTTTGTTCTCATCGAAGATAGACTTAACTTGTTGGTTACTTTTAATGTCAGAAAAGACTTCGGACTTTTCTTTTTCAGTTTCTTTAATTAAAAAAAAATTTGGTTACCTATGCATACAAGAACTGTGGTGCAGGGTGGGTAAGAGGACTCACCAGAGACAGAGTGGGGAGCAGAACAGGCGGACTGACTGAAATACACTGCTGAGGGGAATAGCGAGTGGGTCAGGAGAGGTCTGTCATGCCATGTGGGTCACCTCCCTGGCCACCAAGAAAGCTCCTCTTCCAGTTTCAAAGAACAGCCTGTTGTATTTATTTGCTAGTCATCGCATTATTAAACTGAACCCCTTTCTAATTACGGCTGCAGCTGTGTGCGTAGAAATTATCAGTAAATGCCTTTTCCTTAACAAAAATATTAGGTATTTTGGAATTCTGATGTTCCAACCTTTCTAATGATGTTTAATGATGCTCCTGTTCTTTGGGGAAAGTATTTCATAGTACAAAGTTTATTGGGTTGTAGTTAGAAATTTAGGCATTAAGTAAAATTTTGACTCGAGTTCTGGCTTTTTAAAGTTTATTTTGCCTCAGATATGCCTCTGGAAAAGGCATATTTTGAGATACATGTATATGTTTGTGTTATATAAATACAGATGATATTTATAAATAAACTGTGTGATACATATTGTTCCCTTCTGATACACATAAGACCGAGACCATAGCTTTTAAGAAGCCTGCTTTTAAAAAAATCTTCAAAGTAAAAGTGGTACACCTGGACAGACTGGAGTTGCACTGAATGGTAAAAAGATAGTGATGATTGTGAGAGTGTATATTAGTAGATTGGTTGCTTTCTCCCTTCTCTTCTAGAATGTTTTCAGTAACATTTTCCTGGTCTGTAAACCAGCTGACAGTCTTTGAGCTCAGTATGAGTAGTTGGAAACCATTAGTGTCACACATGTTTTTCCTTTCAGATGTTTGTGTATCCTGTAGGACAAATTTGGAGATGATTTTAAAAGTTCATAATATTAAGATTTTTAAAAGTTTCGCTTTGCCAACACATGTACTTTTATTGCAGTGGGTCACATACAGAATTTTTGTTACTAACTTTTTTTTTTTTTAAAGATTTATTTATTTATTCATACAGAACTGGGGTACAGACCAGAGATACAGGGGCCGTGAGAGAATTCACCAGAGACAGAGTGGGGAGCAGAACAGGCAGATCGACAAAGTACACTGCTGAGGGGAGCAGCGGGCAGGTCGGGAGAGGTCTGCCACACCATGTGGTCACCTCCGGGGCAGGCGGGGATCGAACTCATAGGGAAGTGGCTTAAGCTTCTTAGTGCAGTGCTTTAACCCGCTGCGCCACCAGGGAGGGCCCGTTACTAACCTTTATTATGGGAATTTTCAAAAATACAAAGGGAGAGAACAGTAAAAGGAACCATCCGTCTTGCTCATCTTGTTTATTGTCCTCACCAACACAAAGACCCCCTAAAGTCTTTGCAGCAAATTCCAGACATCATAATATTTCTACTTACAATGAATGTGTTTGATAAAGACTTTAAAAAGATACCATTATGATCACTATCACATAAAAAATTACCTGATTTCTCAATTTTGTTTATTAGAAATGGCAAGTTATATATAATTTCTAAAATCAAAGTGCTTCATTTCATTCTCTAGGTTTAATGTACAGAAGTTAAGAGTTGGGCTGTTTTGTGCCTAGTTGACAAAGGCTTACATTTTGGGGTTAGTCATGTGAATAGGATCCACCGGAAAAAATACCACAAAACCAGATTTGGGGGTTTGGAAATTCCCAAATGAAGAAATAAGGGTAACATCTTCCCTCTCCAATTTAATTAGCTGCTTAACTGAGTGCCTACTCTATGTTTTCTTTTCCTTAGACACTTACATATCTCTAACATAACAAAAACTGCATTTTAGGCCAAAGACTTTGTAGTATGTTATAGCATAATATAAACTCTGTAGAGATAGACCTTTGGGGGAATATGGTAGGAAACACAGAAGAGGGCACTGCAAATAACATACATTTCAAATTTTGTTTCCCAGCCAAATGCATATGGTCCTTTAATTCTTGACTGGAAAATTTTTATTTAGCCTGGGCTGGATCTTAAGGTACACATATTTCTGGAGATAACTTTAGAGAATGAATAAGCAAAGAAACAAAACTTGTATGGGAAAGCTGCTTTCTTTGCTCTTTTGATGGACTATATTTTCTCTAGCCAAGGTGAAGTTTGTACTTTTTCTCAGGATGTTAGTCCAGTCATTACCACAAGGTGATGCAGTGACTTTGCACATTACTTCTCTTCTGAGCTGAATGTGTGCCTGCCAGCAGGCACATATGTAATAAAATGTAAATCTGCTTGTGAGTCATCTTGATAAATTGGCATTTTCTTTGAATTGGAACATTGAACTTGCCCATCTTTTCACTCTCATTTCTTAACTGTACAAGGAATGATACAAGCAATTAGGAATTTTATTTTACCATTTAAAATTGTTGTAAAGTTATTTAAAAATTATGTAAAAACTGTTTAAAATTATGCTGTATTAACATTCAGATTACATTTATCCAAGCTAATTCTTGAGTAGAATCTACATTGGAATTTAATTAAAAAAGAAAGTAACAACTAGAGTTACTTTATAATGACTTGTTAAATATTTCTAGTTACCATGTTAAATATTTCTAGTTACCATATTGAAGTTTTTCAAAAGGTGGCTGTCTTAAGAGAAGTTAAATGGTTATTAATAAGATGATCTTAAATTATCTTACTCTTCAGATATGAATACATTAAATTCTGATCTTAGGGTTTTTTTCCTTCAGCATTTGGGGGGGTTAAAAATGAAACTTTATGTTAATGTTTATTTTAAGCAATGAAAATAAGTTTTGAGTCCTCTTCACACATCCATTGCATGAGTAAAGACTATTATCTACGTATGTGTTTTGGTGTCCCTTTTGATGCACTTAACGGCATCAGAAGGGCCACAGATAGCCACATAAATGTATGTCTGGTACAAAAGAAATTATTCCTTCAGGCTACATTTTTCAAAGATATCTTTTTTTTTTGGATTAGGCAGGGGTGAAATATTTATGCAAGAGTGAAAACTTGACGACTCTTAGTGTTCAGGGCTCCTCACTTTCTACCCAAAATGACCTCCATTCTTTGTTATGTTAATAGGCTTCCCAGGTTCACTATTGATTGATTTCTAGTTCTTACCCAGAGTGACTAGAAACCTATTCTAGGCATGTGGTGAAAAATATGTTTCTTGGGGAGATCCCATAAATATTGGTATGTATCTTAAATACTTTTCAGTGAAATTGGTAGTAGACAGACTGAGGATTACCTCAGTACCCCCAGACTTGCATATTCTATAAAGAGGTTCTACCATCAGCCGCATAAAGACAGTATACTTTTAGCATGTAAGAACTTTAATAGAATGATTGTATGTATAGAACAGAGAGAATATTAGTTTCTCGAAAACACTTGGAAGTTTCTTATCTACTCATGTAATGCCCAGCCAAACAAGGTTGGTCCAAAGTGGGGCCACTGAGGCCTAAAAAGATTCCCATGGCCCTCCCCGGTGGCGCAGCTGGTTAAAGCAGAGCACTGAGAAGCTAAAGCCACTTCCGCATGAGTTCGATCCCTGCCTGCCCTGCAGGTGATACACATGGTGAGGCAGACCTCTCCTGACCCGTCTGCTGCCCCCCTTTGACGATCTGCCAGTTCTGTTCCCCATTCTGTCCCCGGTGAATCCTCTCACCATTCCTGCAGCTCTGACCTGTACCCCAATTCTGTATGAACAAATAAATCTTTAAAAAAAAAAAAAGCTTGCCACAAGTCTGGGCCTCCCTGGTGGCACAAGGGGTTATGTCTCAGCACTATGAAGCTGTCAGCAGCCACTGCAGCAGGAGTTTTATCCCTGGACAGGCAGCTAACCCGAATGAAGTAGCAGACTTCTGTCTTGCTCTCTATTCCCTTCAACAGAGTATTTTAGTCAGTTTTCCTGTCCTGTACCCTCCTCTTCTCTGATGGGTCCTCTAATTCCACTGCACCTCTGGCCTATATCCCAGATCTTGTATGCATAAATATTTTCTAAAAATTAAAAAAAAAATTACAGGCCAGAGGAGGGTGTTGGTGAAAAGATTCTCTAGAGATAGAGTGGGGAATAGAACAGGCCGATTTACTGAAATACACAGTTAAGGGGAGCAGTGGGATGGTCCGGAGAGATCTGCTGTGCCATGTGGGTCACCTCCCTGGCCAGGGATCGAAGTTGTGCTACAGTGGCAGCAGACTTGTGCTACAATGGCTGCAGATAGGCTTCATAGTGCTGTGCTCCAACCGTTGTGCCACAAGGGAGGGCCCACATAAATAAATCTTAAAAAAATAGAAAGGCTTGCCACAAGTCTAAGGCACTCAGAGAAAAGGAGTGAAAGGGACTAGGCAAGGGACCAAAGGAGCAAAAATAAAGTACAAACATTGATAGGCTGCCATTATCAGCTTTACCACGTCTCTCAGCAAGTGTCTGTATGTTTGCATTTCATGTATCTGTTCCATGTCCCTCAAGTTCCCAGTGTAAGTCTGAGGATGAGAAGCAAGTGTCCTTCACATCTCTGCTCTGTGTGTCTCTTTAGAATGTCTACTATAGCAGCTTTCCACTCAGCTCCACCCCTCTTTTGGTGGGGGAAGGAGACTTGGAACCTCCCCCTTTTATGGAGATTTCCGTAACAAAATAACATTGTAAGACTTGCCTTACTAATATGATATGACCAACAGTGAACATGGAAAAAACTGGAATCTTAAGTGTCATGTCTCTAGAGATCCAACCCCCTCTTAAGAAACCAGCAACTTGAAAAGAGATTATCATTAGTGACTTCATTAGTATCATGTCACATCCCTTAGGGCCCATATTAGCTAATGTAAATCAACGAAACAAAATACTTCAACTCTTCATTTATTTTAGGCAGAGTTACCAGTGTTAGTAAATACTACCTTTCAATTTTCCTGAAGGCTTTGGGTTAACCAGCTGAGTTAACAGTTGTCTTTCTGTGAACTAATCTTGGGATTCACATGATAGGTTCAGAGTGCAATTTTTGATTACCTGAGAAAAAAAATCAGCAGACTCCTTGTTCAGTGCACTGCAAATTATTACCAAAAGGAAACAAGGCCAGCAGGAAAGCTGCTGCTGCTTTGCAAAGGGAATACGTTTGTGAAAACAATTACCTGCATAGATAAAGGAGAGCTGCATTTTGCCACAACAAGGGGTGCTCTTGTATAGTGTTCTTTTATGGAATTACTGTGCAGTTTATTTCCTTGGAGTCAGATTGGTTTTCTGTGATCAGTCCTGCCTGTCTTGCACCCTCACATTCTTGAAAATTTACAGTTTAGCTTTAAGATTTGTTAATCATACCTAGCTTCATTTCTGGTGTTTGTTCTTGTGAGACCTTCCATCTTAAAGTTTTCTCTCAGCTTCTACCAGTAATAAAGCTTTTGTTAGTGTAGAGGTACAGCAGGACTATTACTAAATGCTCTTTTTACCTCCTAATCTTGGTATCCTACTAAAATGGCTTCTAGGTTCATGATCAACAGTATTTTTGGGATGTCTGTATATTTCAGTAAGTTAAGTACTTTTTGACCGTAACAGGAAGAGAAAGCACAGAAGGAAAATATTTTCTAAAGTGTTACTTCAAAACTTAAATTTGCCTTAGTATTTCAAACAAGTCAGCAAAATAAACAGTTGTGAAAATATTCTGCTTGTAGATCTTAGAGGTAATGATTTCTTCATTGTTAAAATATGAGCAGTCTTACTGATGCTTGCCCTATAGAAACTTCATTTGTGATGTTAATTTAGTTGGCAAATATCTTGCCCCAGTTTTACCTGTTATTACAGAGATTCCTGTTTTCATGACTCAGAAGCAAATGTCTTAATTTATGTGTACTATAAATGTTTATATCAAGTCTGACACTACATTTTTTTTTTTTTGGAGAGTAAATACTCAGTTTTCCTTTTTCTAAAAGTAGAACTGAGAATATGGAAAGCATTTGAGGCTTGTAGATTTTTATAATCTAGGTTCACCTATTTAAGATTTTAATTTATTTTTTCATAGAAGAACTGGGGTGTAGGTCACAGGTATGTGTGATTTTGGGGGGAGGGTAAGAGGATTCACCAGATGTAGCATGGAGAGCAAGACAGACAGATCCACTGAAATACACTGCTATGGGAAGCAGCTGGTGAAATAGAAGGGGTCTGCTGCATCCAGAGTGAGGCTGTATGCTTCAGGTATCATTGACTGGTTAGGGTGACTGGTCTTTGGTGTGACCTGATTCATGATCTGAATTAACTATAATAGTTCATTAAATCTTTGGATGATCAGTTTTTTTAAATTTTATTTATGCATACAGAACTGGGGCACAGGCCAGAGGTGCTGGGGCGGTGAGAGGATACACCAGAGACAGTGTGAGGAGTAAAACAGGCAGATTGATGAAGTACACTACTGAGGGAATAGCAGGTGAGACAGGAGAGGTCTGCTGCACCATGTGGGTCACCTCTGGGCCTGGGATCGAACTTGACACTAAAGTGGCTGCAGCTAGCTTGCAGTGCTGTTTCCTAATCCATTGTGCCACCAGGGAAGGTCTGTATGATCAGTTTAATGTGCAGGTTCCCATGGTAGTCCTGTCTACTCTTCTCCTCTATCCATTCAAGTCTCCCAAAGTTATCTGCTGGGCAAGGAATGGAGGGTTGGCTTTTTTTTCATCTTAGCAATGACACCAGGACACATTGTAAATCTGTGGGGAAGGTACTTTTGAATACTGGAAGTGACAGTAGGATCATTGAAAAAATGAAAATGTAGAATCCAGATAGGCAGAGTTGGACAGACAGACTGAACTGTTTCAAGGCTACCTAAGATTTTACATGGCTTGACAGATCTAAATAAGCATCTACTAGAAGCCCCAAAAGACAGGTTAGGTCTGGGCATCTGTAGAAATAAGTGATTTGGTAATGGATACTTAAGTTAGTTGGATTGGGTCAGAATCTACTTAGTAATTCTTTATCCTGGTCACATACAAGATTAAGACTATTGAAGACTTTAAAAGAGAAAAATAAATATTTTCTTTCTCTCCCCCCCCCCCCCACACACACGCCTTGGTCTCACTTGACAAGTCACTGTTGTCTCTCTCTCTCTTTTTTTTTTTGAAGGACACACTCCTATTTTCCCACCAGTGATCCCAGTATGTATCCAGGATTGAGTATACTGGTCGAAAGGATTTTGAACCTGGAAGAGAGGAATGGAGGGCATGGGCTAGGGAGGAAAATAGAAAATAATGAACTTAAAGGGTTCAATAATGAAAAGACAAATTGGCAAGTAGCCAATACAAATGGAGTTTTTTAAACTGTCCTTGTCTCTTAGTGTCTGTTTCAAGGTTTCCATTGCCAGTGAGCACTTAAAACACCCCTACATTTGTTTTTGGTTGCAGTAGAAGCTAAGGGCTTAGGCTTTCCAGGAGAGTTCAGAGTTTGTGTTTTAAAGTGTGGACAGGGTCCATTGGATTATGAGTGTTCTAGTAGTTGGGTGTGATGACATGCAACTTAGGCTATGTGAGCCTCTGCCACTGGATCACATATAGTATAAGGCAATAAAAAAGTTATTTTAAATCCCTTTGTAACTTTATGATTCAGTTGAAAATTAGTCATTTCCCAGTTTGTCAGTGTTTTTATATTTAATTACATTTTATTTTATTTTTATTATTTTTAAAGATTTACTTATTCATACAGAACTGGGGTATAGGCCAGAGATGCGGAGGGTGAGAAGATTGACCAGGAACAGAGTGGGGAGCTGAACAGGCAGATCCAAGAAGTATACTGCTGAGGGGAGCAGCGGGCGGGTCAGGAGAGGTTTGCCTCGCCATGTGGATCACCTGTGGGACAGGTGGGGATCGAACTCATGCTGAAGTGGCTTTAGCTTCCTAGTGCTGTGCATTAACCTGCTGTGCCACCAGGGAGGGCCCTTTAATTACATTTTAAAGGAGAATTATTAAAGCACATTTTTCCAGTAATTATGGCATGCAGATAACATGGATTTAATGTTAAATGTTACGCATTTAATCTGAAGGTATAGATTTTAGTTGGTATAATTCATCTTTAATTACTTGTTTCAGGGTCACAATGACATCTTTTCAAGAGGTCCCGTTGCAGACTTCCAACTTTGCCCATGTTATCTTTCAAAATGTGGCCAAGAGTTACCTTCCCAATGCACATCTGGAATGTCATTACACCTTAACTCCATATATCCATCCACATCCAAAAGATTGGGTTGGTATATTCAAGGTAAGAAAAATTTTCTGCATTTGTTCCAAATAGCTGGTTCTATTTTGAAGCACATCAATAGGTAACTTATATTACCCATATCTTAATTCTAAATTAAGGGTCTTTTTTAAATTTTGTAAATATCAAGTGTAAGACATTTACAAGTGTAAACATCTTGTAAACACAATATTTAACAGGCATGATATTGTGAAATATGTTGAGTTTCAGTTTATCATGCCTTCCTATCATCTAAAGGTTTAGAAGTTTTTTCAGGATTTTTTTATCATTCCTTACCTTAAATGTTTTATTTTGGATTACGGTATCATTTACTACCTCTTCCATTCCTTTGTAATTAAATTTGTGTGAGACTACAGCCTTATTATCTCTTATCTTGTTGTGCATTAACTCTTGCTGATACTTTTTTTTTATTATTATTTAAAGATTTACTTATTTTTTGTGTAGAAGGCCTGGGATATAGGCCAGAGGTTATGGGAGGTGAGAGAATTCACCTTAGATAGAATGGGAAGCAGAACAGGAAGATCTACTGAAATACGCTGCTGAGGGGAACAGCAGGCGAGCTAGGAGAGGTCTGCTGGGTCATGCAGGTTAGTTTGAGGCTGGGGATTGAACCTCAAGCTTTTGCAGTGATAGTACTGAGACTTAACTCCTAGTCCCCTAAGAGCTTAAACTTTAGGTTTGCACCCTGATTTTGCTATTTACTAGCCTTGGACTAGCTTTTTACCTCGTAGGATATTGTTTACTCCAAATCATTTAGTGAACTTAATATTTTTAGAAGATTTATTTATGAATACGGAACTGGGGTACAGGCCACGGGTGTGTGTGTTGGGGGGTGGGGGTGAGAGGCTTCATCAGAAAAGAGTGGGGAGCAGAACAGGCAGATTGACAAAGTACACTGCTGAGGGGAGCAATGGGTGAGGCAGGAGAGGTCATACCATGTGGGTCACTTCCCTGGCCTGGGATTGAACTCATGTTGAAGTGGTTGCCAAATAGATTCATAGTGCTATGCTTGTAGCGCCACCAGGGAGGGCTCCATTTAGTGAATTTATTTGTGTTGGCTATTCTCAGTTTTGCTTGGGTCCAGTATCTATAATTTTGATGTTGTCATTTGTGTGTCAGCCATCACATATGCACACTCAGTATTTTTCTTGACTGTTAGATCCAGGTAGAACCCATTTAGTTAGAGCTTTTTTTTTTTTTTTTTTTTTTTTTTTTTTTAAAAGATTTATTTATTTATTCATACAGAACTGGGGTACAGGCCAGAGGCTCAGGGTCGGTTAGAGGCTTCACCAGAGACAGAGTGGGGAGCAGAACAGGCAGATTGACGAAGTACACTGCTGAGGGAAGCAGCGGGCGGGCCAGGAGAGGTCTGGCTCGCCATGTGGTCTCCTCCGGGGCAGGCGGGAATCGAACTCATGCGGAAGTGGCTTCAGATTCTCAGTGCTGCGCTTTAACCCGCTGCGCCACCAGGGAGGGCCAGAGCTTTTTTTTTTTTAAAGAAAGATGTAGCTTTATATATGCTAGATAGGGGTTTTTTCATGGTCGGTGTATGGATAGGGACAAAGACTGCAAGGTATGACTTACGTGAGGTATATTTGGGGAAACACTTGAGATGGGCTCTATTTCAGGAGGTGATAGCATTGAGGGGGCATATTGAAAACAGGGACAGAACACTGCAGAATCAAGCTCATTCCTCCTGATTGGCTTTGTGCCCTGAAAATTAGTAAATGGTAACATTTAATGAGCAGTCATGTGCTAGACATGGTGCTGAGTGCTTTATATAAAGGGACTATCTCACTTCACTTGCAGTCCTTTGAAATTTTTATTACTTCTGTTTTAAAGAGGAAGGGAACAAAATTAACTTGTCTGAAGTCATATATAGTCATATAGATCATTAGTAAGTGATCTTTCTTGATGGTCTGACCTATCTTTACACTCTTAATTACTTACACCGTGGTTCCAAAAATTACCATTTTTTGGGTATTCATCATGGGTCAGATACACTCCTAAAGCTGCTTTTATGTTCATCACATGGCTCTCTAACAATTCAGAAAAAAAAAAAGGCTCCTTAGACAGGTGAGGTCAGTATTTACATCACTAATTCCTCAGCCTTATTTAAAAAGATAACTAGCCTTTCAAACATTTTTGAATGTGGCACACAGAACGAAAGAATTGTGTAATTCAACTCAGCGACGTTTTATCAAATACTTCTGAAACATGTTTTCATAAAGTAGCACATAATTTTCAAACAGTGTGATTCTTTCAGTTCTGTATAATTAAAAAGGAAATACTGGTTATGAACCACTACATTGATAATACCACTTCCTACTGGGTTGTGACCCACATTTTGAATACACTCCTAGAAATTGAAGATTGCTAAAATTCTTCTAGTTTCAATATTCTGTTCCTAAGTCAACACATTATACAACATAAATATAAGTTATATGAATGATGTCTTATAATACTACTAGCAATGGGTATATAGAATCTGTTTTAAATATCTTATAATACTCAGTTTTTGACAGTGTAGTCCACTTGAAAAATATAGACTGACATATAGAATGTGTCATTTTTCTGTTGTAAGTCAAGTTTTAGGGGCATATATGATCTATTTGTACATATAAACCTCTTGGTAATACAGACCATTAAATAAAATTTACTGACTGTAGGCAAGATTTGCTAATGATGAAAAGATTAGTTAGTAGATTTAAGGGGCAGGGTAGGACCTAATTTTAAAAAGCTGAATTTCTGGTATAAAATAATAAATTGGAAAAACTTACTGTATAAGGAAGTGAAATTTTAACTAGAACGTAGGTTTTTATAGTTTGACCATATCGGTACTAGGATTTTCCTTGAGAAATTAGGTATTAAATGCATTATATTTTTTGAATATTTATTTATGCATGTAAAAACTAGATACAGGCCAGAGATGCAGGGCGTCGGTGGTGAGAGGATTCACCAGAGACAAAGTGGGGAGCAGAACAGGCATATCGACTGACATACACTGCTGAGGGAAATAGTGGACAAAATAGGAGAGGTCTGCTGTGCTTGGGTGGGTATCTAACTCATGCTGCAGTGTCTGTGGATAGCTTTATAGTGCTGTGCATTAACCCCTTGCACTACCAGGGAGGCCCCTAAATTGATTTTAATACATATTTGACACTTCAGTATATATCCATTTTTGTATCATTGGGTTATGACAGTAAAAAATCATAATAAAAATTTGACATGCTTGTTAAAGGAGTCATTATTGCTAAACATAGTAAATGCATGCTTAGCTTCAGGATGCAATAAAAACAATCTGGTATAAGATAGTCTAATGTTAAACCATTTATGTTTTCTTTTAGGTTGGATGGAGTACTGCTCGTGACTATTATACCTTTTTATGGTCCCCTATGCCTGAACATTATGTAGATGGATCAACAGTCAATTGTGTATTAGCTTTTCAAGGTAAAGAACTGGAAACTGCAATACTTAGTGAAATGAGGTTTATTACCATTAAAAATGTTGTACTCTGTTCTAAGTATCTCCTTAGGCATGACCAAGGTACTGTAGTTGAATTCATAGTATTTTTGGCAAAACTCATGAGAGTGTAAATATCTAGTGTAGAACTTAAAATATTTTATGGAGGTATTTGAAAGTTTTTTTGTTTAACTTTCATAAAAAAGAGTGGGGATCTTTCCAGAACTTTACTTTTATTGGTTTTTTTTTTTAAATGGTAAAACACAATGCTGTTAGTAATGTTGTAATAGTATAACAAATTAGAGATGAAAAGAATATCAGCTATCAGCACCACACAGATGATTAGCAGGATTTATATAGAGTATATAAAATTAAGTCTTGGCATCATATACAAAGTTTAAAATATATTTAGAAATATATCCAGTGTTTGCATAATTTTTGTATTTCATTTGTATTTTGTTTGTGTTTCACTAAAGGAAATTCTTAGTCTTGTTTATGCTATGGAATAGCATAAACCATGCTATGCTATGGTGAAGTTTGTGGACTGCTTTATATTGAACCTAAAATGCATAGAATTGCAAGAGAAACCAATAATCTGTTGGCTATAATTTTAGTTTGTTCAGTTGTCTATTAAAGGACATTTTGGTTATGTCTAGGTTTTGGCAATTGTAAATAAAATTGCTATAAACATTGCACAGGTTTTTGTGATTGTAACTTGCAGCTCATTTGTGTAGGTACTATGGAATGCGATGCTGGATTTTATGTTATTTAGTTTTGTAAGAAACCAGACTGTTTTGCAAAGTGATAGACTATTTTGCATTTCTACCAGCAATAAATGATAGCTGCTGTTGGGTTACATCTTTGTTGGCATTGGTGTTGTCAAAGAGTTTTTAGATTTGGTAGTTTATATATGTAGTTTTTTTTAAAATTAATTAATTTTTTTAAAAAGATTTTATTTATTCGTACAGAACTGGGGTACAGGCCAGAGATGTGGAGAGTGAGAGGATTCACCAGAGAGACAGAGTGGGGCTCAGAACAGGCAGATTGACGAAGTACACTGCTGAGGGGAGCAGCGGGTGGTCAGGAGAGGTCTGCCCCGCCATGTGGATCTCCTCAGGGGCAGGCTGGGATTGAACTTATGTGGAAATGGCTTAAGCTTCTTTGTGCTGCGCTTTAACCCGCTGCGCCACCAGGGAGGGCCCATATATATGTAGTTTTTAAAGATTTATTTGTGCATATAGAACTGGGTTACAGGCCAGAGGTGCAAGTGTGGTGAGAGGATTCACCAGAGACAGAGTGGGGAGCAGAACAGGCAGAACTGACTGAATACACTGCTGAGGGGAGCATTGGGCCGGTCAGGAGAGGTCTGCTGGCACCATGTGAATCACCTCCAGGGCAGGGATCGAACTCATGCTGAAGTTGCTTTAGCTTCTCAGTGCTGTGCTTTAACAAACGCTGCAACACCAGGGAGCGCCCTGGTGGTTTATATTTTAAAAAAGTTTTATTTTGAGCTTTGTATATTTTGTATAGGCATTAATTGGTATTGTAACCACATGGAACTTGTATATGCAGCTGTTTGCTCATTACTGTGTCAAGAAGCAGATATTCAGGCAGTAAAATTTATACTGTAATGTATTCAAAGACTAGGACTGCAGATGTTTAAGAAAAGTTAGAATTATGTACAAAGTTTATTTTAAAATAGACAACGTTTTTAAAGATAGCCAGATTCAAGTGTATAAATCTAATTTTGTTGTTAATCTTAAAATTTGTTGGTTTATTTCTAGTAATTTTTTTTTTCAAAGATTTTATTTATTTGTGCATACAGAACGGGGGTACAGGCCAGAGGTGCAGGGGCAGTGAAAGAATTCACCAGAGACTGAGCAGGGAGCAGAACAGGCAGATCTACGAAGTACACTGCTGAGGGGAGCAGCGGGTGGGCCAGGAGAGGTCTGCCGCACCATGTGGTCACCTCCAGGGCAGGCGGGGATTGAGCTCATGAGGAAGTGGCTTTAGCTTCTTAGTGCTGTGCTTTAACCCGCTGCGCCACCAGGGAGGGCCTATTTCTAGTAATTTTAAATGTGATTAGTTTTTTTATAAATGTGCTGAATATGTTATAGTGACTAATACATTTATTGGTGACTTAGCAAGAAGTTTAAAAGTGGTAAAGATGGAAAAAAGCATATAGTCTTATGTTTATACTTAAAAGCAGTTAGCTTTATATGTTTTAGAATTCATGTCAATTTTTATGTTTCAAATTTTGAAATTCATAAATTAAAGCTTCTTCCTACGTGGAATTTATAAGGTAGTGAGGATAGAGACATGGAAAAATGTTGTAAGTCACTGTTAAGACTGGAAAGGATCTTAAGCACAGCCCAAATCACTGCTCATTTTGTGGATGAGTTAGATACTCTTGAAATGCAAAACTCAAAATAGCTCTCAAAAATACTTTAATCGTTTCCCTTAATGGCTCCTTTTTGCTTGTTACAATTTAACTGATTGCTGATGTCACAGGCTGTAAAGCTTGACTTGCACTTTTTTAATTTTTTCTTATTAATCTGATGAGAGCTTTTCTAGATAGCCTTTTAATTTAAAGATTTATTTATGCATACAGAAATTGAGGTGCAAGCCAGAGATGAGGGAGGTGAGAGGATTCACCAGAGACAGAGTGGGGAACAGCAGGCAGATAGACTGAAATACACTGTTGAGGAGAGCAGCAGGCATGATAGCAGAGGTCTGCTATGCCATGTGGGTCAGCTCCCTAGCCAGGCATTGAGCTCTGTACAAGCTCTGATTTCCCAAAGGTCCTGAAAGGGAAGTTTCCTCTGATTGGGTGAGTTTGTGTCTGCTGAGACTGGTACCCCTTCATATGTATGCTATTTTTGGTTTAATTCCCCTTTAGTTCTGAAGTCAGGGACAGAAAGGATGAGAGTGGTTGTATGATTCTCACATTCAAGAATTCAGGGGTCTTTGATTTAAAAATACATTGACGACTAGGACGTATTTGGAGACATTGTTGGGTTACAGTATGGACTTGATTATTTTAGTTATCTATTTGCTTTTATGTGTGATTAGAGAACGAGGAGGTTAACATATAATGGCTAAGATGTCTGTCAAACTCTGAATTAGGCTATTTTTTTTTGGTTAGTTTTATGCACCCATTTATTTATGTCAGTGTGCTGCAGTGGTAGGCAGTAGCTGTGAAAGTGCTGTGTCTTTAATTTAACCCCTGAGCCATGAGAAGGGGTCTCTAGATAGCTTTAAATCATAGTTGTGAATAACTGCATTTTGTTTTAGAAGGCTATTTGAACCACATTTTTAGTGTATGATTTTTGTGAGATTTAAAAAAAAAATGATAATTTATTTTTGCATCATTAGGTGCCTTTTTCCATCTCAGTTGTAATCCCCAGGGGCTTCCCATCACCAAATCACCTGTGTGCCATCACCATAGTCCAGTGCACTTCCCTCCCCCCTCTGTTTTTGATCCCAATCTGTGGGAGACCAGCTCCAACTATTGAGGTGTCTGGAAGCAAGACAGGCAGGACCCTAAGGTGGGAAGGCGTCGG